AGAGAGAGACAGAGAGATAGGGTGGGGGGTGGGCAATGCAATTCGTTGACGTCGTCGATAAGGAGAGAGAAGAGAAGAGGGTCGTGGGGCGAGGAGTGAGAGAAGAAACGTGTGGAGATGAGTATACACTCAAGTCATGATGGTTGTTACGTGAGTGTGCGCGCGCAGGTTAGGGTATAAGTACACACGAGCGGACACACTGGCGGTCTGTGGACGGACTCTCGCTGATGACGTCATCGTCTTTGTGGTCCGGACACGCTCAAGACTTTACTGATTTATGAACAGTACAAATTCGTTATACATATATTATTACGTACTTTTACAAGAACCGTTTCTGGATTATCATTTTTGTTGTGTTTTGCTCTGTTCTGTTTTGTGTTACTTCATCGTCCATTTCTCTTCCAAACGAGTGTTCTTGTAACAAAAAAGGTTTCGGTGCAAGAAGGCAAGGGGGACAGGACTCTATGTTTTAGCCTCAGAGAAACAGCGCCCAAAGAGCAACCGATAGAACACATTTAGTTTTCCTTGTTGTGCAAAAAGCCAACCAATAACACATTAGTTATACTTTCCTTGTTGTGTGTGTCGGGTGTGTGTCATGTGACGTGTGTCGTGTGTCGCGTGTCGCGTGTGTGTGTGAGTAGTGTGCCGCGTGTGAGTTGTGTGTGTGTGTCATGTGTGTGTCATGTGTGTCGTGTGTCGCGTGTGAGTGTGTAGTGTGTCGTGTGTCTGTGTGTGTGTCGCGTGTGAGTGTGTAGTGTGTCGCGTGTGAGTGTGTAGTTTGTCGCGTGTCATGCGTGTCGCGTGTCGTATGTCCGCCCACAGAGCGCCAGCCGTGCCTCGATGTGACAGAGACGATGAAATACCTGATAGACGGGCACGAACTGATCCAGGCGAGCTTGCAGCTGGTTAGTTTGGTGCAACGAGTCGCCTAGCTCACCGGATATCAGAGGGAAAAAGTCGTTCTCAATTTGCATAACTTTATCGATTGTCTGCGAAGTAAAAAAAAAACAAAAACAAAATTAAATTAAAGGAATTTTTTTCTTAAATTCAAAAGATTTTCTTTGGACAAAAGATATTATTTATTCAAATTACCAAAACCACCTGAAACCCGATGTTTAGTTTTTCTGTTGCGATTTGTTGTTGCATTTAGCTAGTTTCGGTTTTTCAACTTTTCAATTGTTCTTCGAATCTTATTATAGTGTTTGTTCCCCTGAGACAGAGATGCTTGTGACGTGTGAAACAGGAAGCAGAGGTCGTGGCTTTCAGAAGTAGAACTTCCAAACCGGCCATGTAGTGTCTTTGAACAACGCAACAGTTTGACGAAATCAAACTCGTGTGACTGACTGCAATGACCATGGCTTTGTTCACCTAACCACAAAACAAACTGCAGAAGCCAAAGTCTTCCATGACATTCTGTTACCAGACACTGTCATGGGTTGGCTTCGGAAGTCTATTGGTTAGACTACCGGACTCGTAGTCATGAGATTGTCGGTAGTCTAGGGGTTAGGCTACCTGATCCATGATGGTGAGATTGTGTTTCGAGGTCTTCGTCCATCAGCTCGGTCCGATGTTGTGTCTTTGAAAAGGACACTTTACACAAAGTTTCCCTTTTGGTACGAACCTTTCAGAGATGGACGTCAAATTCGGACCTTCCCATCTCTTAACTAACCTTACAGTATTTGCAAGGGGTGTAAAACCTAACCAAAGTCAAACTCACAAAGCCATGGTCAGAACAAGCACAACACGGCCACCCACAACCACGATGACACACTCCGTGCTCAGTAGATCCACTAGCTAGGTGCAAAAAAACCAAAAACATTTACGGAACACCATAAGACACGAGAAAAAGGCAGACCTGGAACTTTTTCAAGACACTTGTTGCTGTTTTTTTTCTCCCAAAGCTCCCAGACAGTGATGCAAACATTGAGAACAACTTTCTCCCGTCAGTGTGACGTCACTGACCGAGCAAAAACATGGACAACGAGACGAAACGACACAGCGCCAGGACAACGAGACGACACGACACAGCGCCAGGAGGGAGGTGGAAGAAAACTTTTGGAGTAACTTCAACGTTCAGCCAGAGTTAGAGGCACCCCCCCCCCCGCCCCTTTTTAAGAAAAAAAGGAACCTCCCACAAACTGCTAAAAGATTTGGACAAAGTCAGACTCCCATGAAGCTTTAGCCAAAACAGAAAAAAGAAAAAGAAATCCACCCAAAACAAAAGATTAAATCGAATCGAATTTCACTTTAAAAAGAAACAGCTGCTAGAAAGGTCCCTGGGCGTATTCCTCCATTCTCCTCCGCTCCCCAAAGGCAGCGTGTAGACCACCAATACACGACAAATCGAAACACACACAAAACAATGACGCAATCGCAGAGCTCATGAACGACCAACAAGCAAACAGAGCATCAGCACACGACACGGAATCGTTACACTGCAGCAAAACTCAAACACATCAACAGCTGAGGATTCTTGGTCTATTTCCCACTGCCATTAACATTCCTTATTCTTGTTTTTATTCTCACTATTTAATTTTGTTTTCCTTTGAGCAGCGAGAATGGAAAAGTAGGTTGGGGAGAGCTGTACTTTGCTTTCTTTAAAGATATTATGACCACACTTCTCTCTCTCTAGCCCTTTTTAACTCCCAGTATAGCACAGGCCATCAACAACATTACTCCAGCGAAGCCTGTCCTGAGCATCCTTTTCTATCTGTTTCCATGACGTCCCCGCTTTCAAAATTACTATTGCAATCAATTTCAATCCTAACGAAAAAAATGTTCTTCAGACCTGTTTGCTTGCTGATGTTTAGAGCGCCTTACACTGACACATACACACACACACACACACACACACA